GGTATTGTTGTGTGTCAAAATGTCAGGCAGTTGAGGCAAAGGTTTTTCCAGTATGAACAGTACGCGACTTCAAATGCTTTCCAACATTTTGGGCTCACTACCACTTTACTTTAACTGGCCTTGCTTTTCTATCACAGATACTAGAAGGATAGGTTGACTCATTACATTTACCACCAGTAACGATGTGGTAAAATGTGGGGAGGAGCCCCCCCCCCACACACTCCAATCGCCTGCACGAAAACCATTCGTGCGAAAAATCTATAATATCTTCAATCTATCGAAATATGCAATTAAACGATAATACGTGATCCGTTCAAGGATCGGGTTTTGCACAACAATCTGGGGGCAGCCGCCCCCCCCCCCTGCCCCCTCTGCCACGTACGCCTATATGCAGACAATGAAATAAAAGTATTATAAAACTTGCAATATGAAATTTTTGATAGAAAACTAAAAACGTGCTCGTCTGTAACTGGCTTATGTGTTAATTCTGGTAGTAGTAGTTACATTATGAAAGGGGTCTGTTGCACTTATTTTGATCTATTTTATCAACGGTTTGTGAACAATTGTGCCCAATGTATAATCTTATTTTATATTTTTACAGTCTACACAGATGGTATATTGTACACGTGCCAATCTATCGTTTCATTCGTTCATCATTAAATATAATCACTGATGGTGAAACGCCTCTAGCAATGATGCATCTTGATGATGGAGGACATTTTGAAAACTTTGGGCTGTTACCGCTGTTAAAGTTACGACTACCGAAAATCCTGGTTGTGGATGGTTCACATATTGGATCAGAATGAGATGAGGAATATGCCAAAGACATCGTAACCGTTATAGAGCAAGCGCGTGAAATATTGGATATGGCGATGTGTTGACTCATATAAAGGATAATTACGTGAAACCTGTGGATGGAGAGCTCCAGCGGAAATACGAATTCAAAATTCATTACTCCATAAAGGACGGTGGTATTTGGAATTATGCACGCTAACAAACAGACAAACAATGTACCACCCCCCTACACACTTTTCTTCATGACTAATTTTGTAATTCTTCCGAAAATTTCTAACATTTACATTTGCGGGGATTTACATTTCCAATCTAACACTTACTGAAAACTTGAGAGAAAAACTTATTGAAATTGTCAGTTTCGTATTATTTAGTTGATCAACGTGCTTCGACAGCCACTGAAGGTCGCATTCTATTGATTGCCCCTTGTTTGCCATCAGGAGAGAACGCCGTCCACAATAATGATATAGAATTGCAAACCCGGCAACCCAACGAAAAGAATACTAATCCTGACGACAAATGGAAATTGTGGCGTGATGTAAACAAAACTGATGCCGTCCGTATTTCTGGTTTTCCTGCAGGGTTGGGTTGCTGTGAATGCTGTCGTCAGTATGGTTGTGAGTGCTCGTGCTTGGCCAGTTGTTTATCATTCCCTCGTCATGCTACTGCAAACCAGTTCTTTACTCCTCAAATGTTCACCGTTTATCACAGAGAAGGTTATAGAACATGTATGGAGTACTGCGACAAACTTTTTTCGCGTGCTCCTGTAAGCGGACCCAGACGGTCAGCACCATTCTAACCAGGGGCGAAACTAGCCCCTTTTGATTAGTTTAATTAGGGGGCCATGGGCGTACCGGAAGGAAAAAATTAGGCCCCCCCCCCCCATTTTGGTCAGTGTACCATTTTAGGGGTCAAAAATTTTTTCCCGACATACCAAAATTTTTCGAAACATCACTAAAATTTTCCAAAAACACAAAATTCGCCAAAAAATTGACTTAATTTCCGACAAATTTGACTGAATTTGTCCCATTTATTTTTATTATAAACCAAAATTTCCCGACTGTTGATTCAATATTGCTCGACTGCCCAAAAAACTGGGGGGGCTACCGCCCCCCCGCCCCCCCCGCCCGGTACGCCTATGGGGTGTCTGCTAGAATTGCCCCGCGATGATGCCCTGCAGGAAATTTTTTTGGCCACTATTTTTCCTAAAAATGTGTGTGGGGG